ATTGGACCTGTCAGTTCTTCTGGCAGCGCAAGCATTGGGCCATGGCGTTGAGCACGCGGTAACGAGACCGACTTGAGCTTGTTGAGCCAGTCATGGAGTGATTGCGGCGGAGAGTTGGGTTTGCTATATCTAGCTTCAGAGACTCGTGGTGGAACATCCAGACTGGCGCTCTTGTCCTCGTCTATGCTGTCAATCATGTCTTGCTGCATGATCCGGTGGTCTTGGTGTGGGTTTGCGTCCCAGTATGTCGTCCATTCTGAAGGTAGGCTATCCCAAGCATCTTGTATGAGGGCATCGTTCACGTGTATACCTCCAGTGATCTGGCGCACCAGAGGCGTCGTGATGAACTCGCTTAGATCGTCAGTCAAGTCCTCGACGTTGGTATAGAGGCTTGGCAGAGTGGGCATTTCTCGTCCTGGTGGCTGAGCCAAGCCAGAGATTATTGTCGATGGCAGAAATTGGTAAAGATCCCCATGGCATGCGGTAGCTTCTTGATGCAGAGTGGAGATCTGGCAGGGTCGACTGTTTTGTCGTGCACGTTTCAAGACACAATTTCAGGGTGCCGAGGTGCTGGATGACTTTTGTTTAGCGGCCCGTTGAACGATCGCAAAATCTCAGGGACCCAGGGTTAGGGCTGGCAGTCATCTCATGTTCCGAGAATCCTGTTCGATTCCGGCCGGCAAGCCGATTGGGGATACTTCTGTCTTGGCTGCAAGGAGGAGAAGGAGGAGAAAGTGAAACATTGCAGAATGAAATAGACGAGAGAAGAGGCATCGGCGCATATGGCAAGGTTTGGACCGGCCAAGGCATATGCAAGGATACCCGGTAGGTTCGAGCATGTCACTCGAGGCATAGTAGGGGGAGATCAGGTACACTATTAGGCTGTAGGCGGACTTGGTTACCGTAGGAATCTGCTCTCCGCCTCCAAGAATAGTGACAGCATAAATACTAGCAGAAGGCAATCTTTTGTGGCTGAACACTGTCTTTGACCATCTTCCTCCTCAGGAATCATTCCGTGTTGTAACCACCAGGTAATTTCGACAGTTGCCGTGTTGCTGCCAGGTGAAAGGCCAGCAGGACAACGTTGTAGGTCTAGACATTCTGATCAACTGGCTACACGACTTCGACAAGCGGAATTGTGTGTGTAAACAGACGAGTACTGTGTATGATGAAATTGATATTATTGTTAATCTCGCATGGCTAGCATTAATCCTTTCGAGCCAACAATGGAATTTTTTTATTTTTTTTTGGGCCGCTGCGGCAGCAGCAGCATTGCCTACTGATGGGTATGCCGGGTTTGGGTGGATGATTTGCACACCGATTGTGCATGCGCGTGCCCATCTATTCCGCCTGGATCAAGCTCTTCGGCAAGAAGGCCCAGACAGTGCCGACAACAGAAAGACAAATGCAAATCAGCATGAGTACCCAGTTGACAACCTTTTCAGTCTTGCTGATATGTTGGCCAAACAACTTGAGATGGAAGGCAATGGGCAAAGTCACGCAGATGGTGAAACAGAGAGCAGATCCTGCAAATCAAAGTCAGTCAGTCAGTCGGCACGTGGCACGCTGCAGTAAAAGGTCCGGAGAGATATCTTACCCATAAAGGCCATGATGGAGTCAAAGGCCGGAAACAAGATGGAGATGACCAGGAAGATGAGAACGGTGACAACGCGAATGACAATCTTGAGGACGCCGCGGAAGTATGCCGACCTTCCCACCATGACCGAGGAGCCTTCTGCTATGGACTGCTGATGGACGCCCAGTATCACCTCTGCGGTTGCAATGATAGGCCTGGCGTTCAACGGGACCTTGGTCAAGGGGATAATTGCTATGACACCGCACAGGATGTACGTCAATGCCTTGGGGTATCCGGCTGTCAAGAAAATGTTGGACGTGATGGCGTCCAGCACGTCATCGCCAAACATGAGGAGACCGGCAACTGCGGCGGTAGCGTCAAGGAGACATGTAAAGGAAAAGGTGATCTTGACGGCGCGACCATACTTGTGGGGGTGCCGCATGTCTCGGTAGATGTTGGGAAACACTCCATGACCGCCCCAAGGAGACATGAGCAGACCAAAAGACAGTGGCAAGGTCAGCCAGTTCGCCGGGAAAAGATAGGTCACCGCTGGCGTGATCAGCGAACCCGGGGATTCTGGTTTGATGAAGCCATCGATGATGACGATAAGGACAACTAACACACCGGGAATCAGTCGTTTGGTTCTCGCAATTGCCCAGCCCAGCCTTCAGGCTGGATTTTCCTTCAAAAGCCCGGGTTTTTTGCTTACTTGTGAAACAGCATGCAATGCCGATAATGCTGGTGAAACTGAGATATCGCAAGGGCAAGAAGTTCAAGGGTACCAGTACTGCCGAAAAGATTATCTTCCACTGGTTCAGCGACAAGACGCCTTCGAAGAGCAGGTCCATGGAATCGGCAAACAGGACAATCAGAGCTACGCAGGCGGCGAGCAGCTCCAGCGTAAAGAGAATACTGGTGGCGACACGGGCGTTGCGGCCAAACGAGATGTATGCGAGATCCGAAAAGGTGATGAGACTGGGGTCGAGATCCATGCACTTGGCCAATAACGTCGCTGTGTACGAGGTGACTGCCGCTGCACCGAGCAGGATGACCATGCCGCATAGCCAGCCTGCGTACTTGATGCCCATTGGCAAGCTGAGCAAGCCCACACCAATCAAGACGCTAATGAATTCTCGGTCAGTACTCGCGTCCACTCCACTCGCAATAGACAGCGCGCCCGTTCCTTGGGGTGCTCGCTCGGCAACTCACTTGATCGAGTTGAAAATGGTCTGTGGAAGCGTGCTCTGGCCCTTGACAGTCAGGACGATCTTGCCGTCCTCTTGCTCGACCTCCTTCACCAAGATGGGCTCCATCTCTCCGTCTGGTATGTTGCCGTTCACCTGCTGCTGACGCCACAGCTCTCCTGCCTCGGCCATGGACGCTCGGCCCAGGTCTTCATCGCCAGCACTGATGCTTCCGTATTCACGATGCGAGCCGTAGCTGCCCACGATCTCCGGCGTGGCCAAGTGAGGAGGGACGGCAAAGATGCTGGTTGGAGTGCCATTGCTGCTGAAACTGAATGTCCGCCGCAGTTCGTTGTCGAGAGGCTTGCGCTCGCGGTCACGGATCGATCCGCTCACACTGGAATGGCGGTCGATGTGGCTCAGCAGGGGCTGGGACTCGCTAGGACCAGGGGCTTCGGAGCCATCGTCGCGGATTGCATGCTCCGGGCTTGAGGCCTCGAGGTGCTGGCGCAGCAGCGAGACGCGCGGAACCGATGTGCCGGGAGTCGTGTCTTGATCCTGCAAGCCATGAGAGAAGCCATCGTGCGCAGCAAGCGGCTCCTGGTCGGGTGCGAAGATGAAGGACGGGCGCTGTGGTATGACTTCTGCAAAAGCAGAGGCGCGCTGGAAAGATCGCTGCCACGAACGGATGGAATTGACACCCTGGGCGAACAGTCAGTGCCGGTGCTCTGCAACAGCAGGTGGTCGGGGGAATAAGGGACCAAGACGTACTCCGATGTCGCCAAGAGCGGCGAGACGATTCGTAACGGACGATCTGGGGTCGAGCTTGCCGTCAGTGCCACACACGCAGTCGCTCGAGCCTGCCCAGCGACCACCACAGCGACTCACCTCCGTCTCCGTCTGGATGTCACGTGACCCTCCGCGTCCTCGCCGCCTGCTGGCCGAGGGCTTTGGCCGAGGTAGTCATGGTCCTCAAAGGCTATATGGCGTGCGTCGCTAGTGGAGAAGCTTCCGTATCTGTTGGGCGAGTTTCCGCGCTCGTATGAGTCCCATGGCGAGGGATGGCTCCGTTCGCGGGACATGAGGGCTTGCGACGGCCGCGATCACTTGGCAGTCGCAAGCGACAGCCTCGAGCCGTGTTGGCGGTGGTGGAGGTGGACGGCGTGTCGAACGGGGCGCGGCGGCGGTGGTGGAGGCGATACGACCCTGGATGCACAAGACCAGTCTCAGGAAGAGGCTGCCAACGCTGAGAAGCAGAGAATGCACGCGGCGGCTGTTGACGTCGACTTGGTTTTATATATCCTGGCATGGGCCTGCACAGCAGAAAGGTGGACACGCTGCGGGCCATGCAGTTTCACGATACTGCCACGCAGAATCCTTCTGCTTTATCGACGGTGCGCTTCTTTGGCACGCGCTCGAAAAGAAAACCCGCTGGCTAGTACGTAATCGTGCAGCAGGGCACAGGGCTGGCTGGTTGGCTGGCTGGCTGGCTGGCTGGCCGGCGGCTATCATTTCTCTCTCCTTGTTGCGGCTGCGTGCTCGCTTGCTTGCTCGCTCGCTTGCTTGCTTGCTTGCTATGGACGGAGGCTTGCACTTTGCCAGCCATCGCCGCGCCACCAGGGCAGGGTCACAGCATATCGATATCTAAGGCTAACAAGCCCATTAGGTACATGGATCAGGAATCTCCCCCCACCAACCAAAGATACCGCCGTATAGCGCGGCTTGTTGCGGCGGGCAGGCTTTTGGGAGTGGAGAACGGGGTCCCGGAGGGCTTTTGCAGTTGCTCGACTGATACTCCACCGAGAGGCCTTTATCGCGATAGCCCTTTGATGTCATTTCCATTGAACCGATGTATCTACATCCCATCCCCTGGGGACGTCCTTTATCGTATAGAAGGCCGAGACGAAGCTCTGCTCGGACATGAGCCAAGGCGAGCATACAGCAAGGTCTGGACCAAGCGGGCCAATGGCTGGTAGAGGAGGCAAAGAAGACGATGCCGGCCTGATTTCAACATGCGCCTCTAAACGGCCCCCGTTGCGGGCGAGGCTGCCAGAACCCCGGGCTCAGGGTTCGCTTACAAAGCACCCGCACCACCATACGTTACTCGGCAATCAAACCACAAGCAGACCAAAGAAATCACCCACCAACACCGCAACTAACGTCCTCTGCCTCTGACATTCACGGACACGTTTCTTCTGACACCCACGAGCAAAAGGATCCACGACAAAACGCGCAAAAAACGACGCCGGCATGATTCGAACATGCGCCTCCGAAGAGAATAGATGCCTGGAAAGTGCTGAATCAGCACGTTCTAGTCTATCGCATTAGACCACTCTGCCACGGCGCCTTTGTTGTTGGTTGAAAGTGGTCATTGTGTATCATATCATATACTGTGAAATGACCCGTCACAACTATTATCCGGTTCGCCTGTGTCGTCAATCAGCTACGTCTACGCTTGCGTTTTTCTTGTTAATTCCAAACATTCCCATTCACTTGGAACACAAAACACGAGGCGCATATCTGTCTGAGGACGCTGCGCTAACGTCGCGTTGGCAGCTCTTCTATGGCGCGCGGTAACGACTACTGGCACTTTATTGTTTTGATGCACAGAACCCCCACGTTTGTCTATTTTGCACCCTACTTCGTACACTTAACAAGTCTGTTCCAGCGATGTCAAATACCTCGGTAGTACACAGGTGTTTTCCTCAAGGTATCTACTTTTCAGTGCAACTTTTACACAAAAAGAGGTACCGCGGCGAAATATAGGGCGTAGCATCGCACATGAGTCCAAAAGATAGGGGTTCTTGTTAGCCGTTTTTGAGGAGTAATGTTACTTTCTATAGAGTTTACCAGCTAAGATACATCGACATATCTATCCGTATAGAGACTTCTATGATAATAGGATATTGATCTATCGGAGTACTGACTTTTACTTACTTCTATACTTATTCAACTAAGAATGAATTGTCTTGACGCACCCTACCAAATAAAGTGCCAGTCATCATTATCGCGCACCATATCTTCCGAACTTGATTGGCCCCGGGACAGCCGCAGGATGAATGTTGGATGACGGATGACGGATGATGATCTGACCAACAGACATGAGAAGTTCTGTGCGGTACAACTCCCTCGTCACCCAGCCAGTGTGTATCCGTTCGGGCATCTGTCGAGAAACTCCAAGATCATCCTTCGTTAAGGACCAATGATTCAGTCTCATTCCGGTCATCGCACATATCCCCAGATATTTCCAAAGATGTCCGAGACAAAGGGCACAATTCTAGGTAGGCGTCTCGTCCACCTCCCTCTTCCAGCTCGAGATATATTGAAGACAGTCAGCATGGAAATATAGACTGACTCCCATGCGCAAGGACAGTCACGGGTGCAAATGGAGGACTCGGCAGCGCCATCGTGCAACGCATAGTCGCCTCTGCTGAGCTCGCCAGATACCACGGGCTATACGCTGTCCGGTCTGACTCCAGCTCGTCTTGCTCGACCCTCAAATCCATACTGGCCTCCGCTGCAGACAATGTCTCAAACCACGACGTCATCCCTCTGGATCTGAGCTCACTAGACAGTGTTAGACGCACGGCAGCTTCCATCAACGCGCGCGTCGCGGCGGGCGAGATCCCGCCAATCCGAGTGCTGATTCTGAATGCTGGACTCCAAGAGTATGATCAACAGCATTGGTTGAGCGAGGAAGAAGGCGGGTTGGACTTGACCTTTGCAGCAAATTACCTCGGCCACTGGCTCTTGACATTACTGCTGCTGCAAAGCATGGACAAGGAGCGAGGTCGGATCGTGGTCATCGGGAGTCAGTCGCATGAGTAAGTTGTCCTTTCGTCAGTTGGCTCGCTGGGTGCCAGAAAGGCTTTCACGCTCTCATGGAGGCGCAGATCACTGACCCTTACAATAGTACTCTGGACAAGCGCAACTACTCAAGCAAGGCATTTGTGGAGGAGCCATACAAAGCCTTCGTTCATGATCCAGCAAACATCGAGGCCATAACAAAGGGCACCTGGTCGCCAACGACAGAGGACCCTTTCTTCCGCGCAGGATTCCGTCGTTACGGCGCTTCGAAGCTCTTCCTCGTCATGATTATCAACTCGCTCCAGGCCCGCCTCGATCGCGATGCTGCACTCAACAAGATTTGTGTGCTTGGTGTTGACCCTGGCACAATGACTACAGGACTGCAGCGAGATGCGCCGTGGATTATCCGAGTTCTGCTGTTCCGATTCGTGTACCCCCTCATGCAGTGGATGTATCCGAACGGCAATGGTCGATCGACAGATCGGAGCGCGGGAGACGTGCTCACTGCTGCTTTTGACAATGGCCCGGGGATAGGCAAGGAGCCAAAGGGCGTGTACCTGCTAGGAGCAGAACCATTCGAGATGAGTGAAGAGGCCAGAGATGCGACAAAGAGGCAGTGGGTTTGGGATGAGAGTGTCAAGCTTACTGGTTTGAAGGATGACGAAACAGTTCTCACTGAGTGGCGGTGATATGTATATTTCTACGAAGCAGCCTGATCAAGCACCCGCGAAGCTGTGAATTACATTCCTCTTCATTAGTTCGACATGACGAATACTGAGAAGCTCGGGGTTTCAAGGGCACTGGTTCAAGTCTATAAAGCTGTGATCGAGTATTGGTTGGAATTCCGTCAGGATACCGATTTCCAGCCGTTGTGAACTTGGCCAGGATAGCATCGATCTCGGCCATCTCCTGGTCGTCGATATCAATGATCTTGCTATTTTCCTCCAACCGCTCCACCGTTGAACACCCAGGGATTGCAATGATGGTCGGCATTCCAGGACGCCTGGACTGTGCTATCGTCCAATTAATGGCAAGCTGCGCCGGCGTGCAGCCCTTCTTCTCAGCAAGCTTGTTGACCTGCTCAACGAGTGCCATGTTCTTCTCAAAGTTTTCTGGCCGGAACCAGGGAAAGTCCATTTGCATCATTAGCAGATCCTTGGGCAAATCAGCATGTTTCTTGAATGCCCCAGACAATATGCCTCGGCCGATGGGCGAATACGCAATCAGTGGGATCCCGTACCGCGCACACGCGGCCGCCACGCCATTGTGCAGGACATCGGTCGCGAACAGAGACAGCTCGACCTCGACCGCCAAGATCTTGGTCACCTTGACAGCCTCGTGGATGGATGCGGCGGAGACTTCGGTGAGCGCGACGCCACCCACCTTGCCCGTCTCGACATACTCGCTGACCAGGACGCCGAGGCTCGTCGCCAAGGGTATGTTGGGGTCGCGACGGCCAAACTCGTACATATCCATCGTTTTGCGGCCCTGGAGCTGGTCGAGGCATGCATCTAGGCTGCGCCGGATGTGTTCTGCCGAGGCGTCAACTGGTTGCCCGGGCATGCCGCCCTTGATGTTGAGGACAATCCTATCGGCATCTTGGGGATATTTGGCCAAGTACCGCTCTAAAAGAACAAGACTGTTGCGCTCAGACGGCCCGTAGAATTGTCCTCCATCCCAACAATTGCCTAAGAGTGAATGAAGGATTAGCATTTGTGGACGATTCGCGCTCATCGGAAACACATCCTTGTTTTCACTAACATCCTTTCTCGAGAGCAACACGGAGGATCTCAAAGGCCTGCTCATCCGAAGGTGGGTTGTCACGCCATGTCAGGCCCATCATGCCAAAGCCGATGGGGCCTACTTCTTTGCCGGCCATCAGAGGCATTTTGATATCCTATGCAGTATACAAAGATTGTGGAAGTAATTGTTCTTATTGTTCGTAACATGAATTAAGCTTGTTCGTGAGGGACTGATGTGGCATACTGTACTCGGTGGAACACGGATGTATTTACAAGTGATCGACATTGGACTGACATGTCGCCTTGCGGGGTCGAGACACCTGTCACCACCGTCAACATAATCCATGAATAGTCATCCCCTCTTTAGTCGGTCTCTGTGCTGCTTCCCTACTTAGATTCCGAGGCGCTTTGCATCTTCAATGTTGTTGATTGTTCAGCTGCATATTGTTTTGAGAGTAATTGCATAGATGAGGGTGAGATCACCAAGAAGAACCAAAGGTAGCGTATACCTGAGTGTCAATTCGTGGTTTTGCAAGGATGTTCATCATCGCGATTTGATTCTTCACCACCTAATGGAAGACTCTATCATGCTTTACTATATTGTGGGGTTTCCGAGGGGCTCTAGTTTCTTCTGCTTGTCCTGTTCATTATGATCTGACGAGTCGCAGTGCCACCAGAGCCTTGATCATAATTACCAGACAAATATCCTGATGCCGAATACACACGGAAAGATCAAGAAGACCTCGCACTGGGTAATGTAATGTAAACAACCTGATACACTCGAAAGTATGTACATCATCTGAGTGACTTGGTATTCACCGGACATACATGGTCATCTTCAGCATACAAAAACACACAACTATGCCGTTGAGCCTCCAATGACATTCGTATGCACAGAAATAAAAGAGCAAAGAAGAATATTTAGCAAAAAGCAATGACCAAGGCATATCAGCCATATGCCGTTTTTCGGCACTTCCGTCTCTCAAGGGTTGTAGCTTGTCACGCTAAGATACTGTACGTCAAAGTACGTATTTTCCGTAGGACCAGACGTGCCGCTGCTGCCCAGCATCTGGTAGTCAATGATCATGTAGAACGGCTGGCCCACCATTTCCGCGCCATACTGCGTGGTCATCAGATCTCCATTGATATAGAAGTCGGCTTTGAGCGTGCTGTCGTCGCTCTCTGGCCGCAGCTCGACCAGGATCGTGTGCCAGGCCGTCGTGGGCGTCGAGTAGGTGTAGTCCTGCGCCGCGACAATGGAACTCGTGTTGAAGGTGTTGAAGCTGATCTTGCCGTCGCCCTTCCACTCGGCCAGGTCAATCTCGGGCGGCCAGCTGTTGACGCCATCGAGCCAGAACGCAGGCCAGCAGCCCTCGGCAACGGGCGCGACAAAATTGGCCTGGAAGTCGAGACCGCCGTTGGCCTCGACGGTGAAGTACTGCTTGGCGTAGATTGTGCCCGAGTTGTAGCTCAGCGCCGAGTTGTCGGCCTGTGTGCCTGTGTAGACGGCCTCGAGTTGCAAGTAGGCATCGTCGATGATGGTCACTTGGGCTGAGGACATGAGGGCGGCGCCATTGTGCGTATCGCCCCATGGGTAGTTGTAGTCAAAGTACTCTTCGAGCTCGTCTTGGCTGCTGAAGACGGTGTCGGGAATGAGGGTTGTTGCGCGCTTCTTAAGCGCATGCTCGATATGCGGGTCGGAGTGTCTGGCACTGACGAGCTCTGCGCCAATAAACAAGGCAAGTAGGTGAAGGAGACGAGAAGATGCCATTATGAGTGCTTGAATTACATATGGAAG